GGAGAGAAAGAGGTTTACAATAAAGCTGATTGAGGAATATGGGGGTCTGCAGCCAAATAGATTTGCTAATCTGCTCTCTTAGGACAGCTTAACATTCATCACAGCTGCAGGTCACCCTCTCACAGAACAGCCTACTCCAGCCACTCACCATGTGGGCAAGTGGAAAACTTGAGTGCATTCTAAAAGTCAGTTCAGAAAGGGAGGGTGCCTTGGTTTTATGTGTCATCACTTTCTCAGCTTTACCAGGTAGGCTGGTCACTCCTGCTGTAGGGAGAGGGGGGTGAGGGGCCGAGAGGGGTCAAGGGCACTGCTGTAGTCACTGTCATCTGGAGATTTGTGACTGTCATAGAGGACCCTCTAACACTTCAGAGCATTAGTACAGTGGGATAAAGGGTTTTTTCTTCAAATTGGATAGAGGAAGAAATGAATGAAGGACACTGATGGCTTCTTTACTTCTGTGACACCCCGGAAGAAACTATGATTTGGGCTCCTAGGCCATAAACACTCATTTGTCCAAGTTTTACTCAGAATTGAACAAAGCTCTATACTAAGGCATCTTTTTCCCTATTGTAATAATTCCTACATAAAATTTGTTTTTACTTTAACCATGGTCTAGCTCTGGTTTTCTTAGACGACCAATCACACTTTTAATGCCAAATAAGGCTAATATATTTTTTAAAAATATTTATTTATTTATTTCCATTTGTTATTGTTATTTTTTTCTTTATTTGATGAGAGAGAGAGAGAAAGAGAAAGTGAGAAAGCAAGCCACCAGGTCCAGGACTTGAACCATGGTTGGCCATGTGGGAATCCAGCGCCATTATCCACCACACCACCTGCTGGCCTCAGGGCCAATATTTTTGAAATAGAGCTAGCAAGTCCTAATGGCAGAGGTCATTTATTGTATTATGATCATTAAATATTTAATAGTCACCTCATGGTAGATGTTGCACAGTTTACAAAGACATTCACAGGAGCAACTGACCTCAGAGACATTTGACGTGTGTAATGAAACAAGAGAACCAACTGAGCAAATTTATGACTGAACTGTTTTATATAGCAAGTAAAAGAACCTTGAAAGATTTTTTTTTATCTTAAATTGATGTATTTTCCTGCTTTACCTGGATATATTATGGAGATGGAATAATAGCAAAAACCCACAACTGGAGTCACAGAAGCAAGAGATTCAGCACGGGCTTCATGGAAGATGCTATAGGAATGCCCATGAAAGGGACAGCAGCTTCCTGAGACTCAGCTCTGTATGAGGAGCAGCAAGGTCTGATGCATCATGGACAGCTGGTCCAGATGAGGCAAGGCTGCAAGTGTAGATCCACTGGTTTTCAGCTAGATGTCCCCTTGGTCTCAATCCTTGCCTCCTCCAGGCAGCCTTCTGAGTACTTTACCTAAACTGGAAACCGATCATGCCACCTCTCTGTAGCACTCTTCAGCAGTTCTTCACTGCCTGATAAACCATACCCTCCGCAAGACTGTTCCCAGGGCACTCTCTAGGCTGTTTCTTACTACCATTCCTTTGCTCGTGCCGGTCTTCTGGCAGGAAAGACCTACCCTGACCTTCAGCTAGCTAACCTAGTCATCATCGAGAATGGGTTTGGAACTCTCCCCTGCACAGATCTCTTTCACTGGACCTACTGCATTATAATGGCCAGTTTGTATGGCCGATTAGCTTTTCACACTGTGAGTTATTGAGGGCAGCGGCTACGTCTTACCCATTTTTATAACTACCAGCACCTAGCATAGTCACCCAGTGAAAGTTTGTGGAAGAAAATAAAAATCTTTAAAGTAGGGCACTATTTCGTATTTCAGAGCATGAGTGGGTTCGGAGTCTGACCTTGGCTATTTACTCTGATGGTTTCAAACAAGATGTTTCAGTGTGCAGAAGTGGACAGGCCTGGTAATAACCATCCAGAAAGGCTATTAGGAAGAGTAAATGAGGTCAGGCACACAAAACATTTAGTTCAGCTCAACCACGGTTAGTTCCTCTCTCCTCCCCATTGCATGGCCTCCACCCCAGATTTCACCTCCCAACGCAGGTTTTAACAACCAGAAGTGAGTCTTGTTTATCCAACATGTTTAATTTCAAGAAGAGCTATAAAGGTCAATTTCTGATTGAAAAAACAAAAAACAAAACAAAACAAAAAAACTTCTGGTCCCATCTTGGAAGTGCTGCATTGCTTCATTCCTTCTCTCACTTCTTTGGATGGCAGTATTTCTGGATTTCTTCTGCAAGCCCCAGGCAGTGCAGGATGCGTTTCTTTTCAGCAGCCAGTTCCTCCTCAGAGAACTGGCCTAAGAGTTTCTGGACAAATATATTTTGATCTTTCAGGAAAATGTTCTTATTGATTCCTACATTTGGCACATTCTCCAGAGACCCAGACTTGAAATGGAAGCTTAAATATCTGTTTCGTTTTATACCAGGTCCTTTCTCTTCGATCCACGACAGTGGACTGCAATGATAAAAGAATCAGTGATTACGCAGGAGCACAAATGGGTGCTGGCTAGCACCTGACCACGCGGTAACATGGCCTTGTTTTCTACCCATCTTCCCCATGGTTATAGTTCAACATGGTGGCTTAGGTAGCATCAGCTGCTCCCCGCCAAGGCCACGAGTGACCATGTTTCCAGCTTTGCTGCAACATAGTCCTTATTTAGTTTTGCTAACAGACAAGAGAATTCATTCGATGACTTTTGTGTAAACACTAGTTCATTATTTAGGAGTTTCTAACCTGAATCTGAGCCTCATGAATCTCTCTCGGGGATACAGCTGTGACTCCAGGCAGGACATGACCACCTGGGGTTTTGTGCAGACTGCTGTTTCCACGTGTATGTACATTTTTATGATGAAGAGCTCTTAGAGTTCTATCACATGTCAAAGAAGTGAAAGAACCCACACACATGCCAGAAAAGCCCTACTATCAGTGAACAAGGCACCTGTTTCACTTTCACATTCCCCTACAGGCTCACGTCCGTGCTCACGAATGTCCAAACTTCAAACAGAATAGATTTTACTCTCCAACGTTTCTCCTTTCTCTGAGTTAATTGTTTTTCCCTTCAGAGTAGGTAATATCTGCTTATAAAAACAGAGAAAAATTTTCCCAAGTAGATTTTGACCTAAAGTATTAAAGCTCTATAGTTTCATAGCTCTAACGCTACATAATATATTATATATAATAATTAAAGCTCTAAAGCTCTATAGCACATAGCTTCATGTCTGTGTATATGTATACAAACCATAAACCCATAAATAAGTTTTGACTTTGCTTCTTTTGCTTATTAAAAAATATTTTCATGAGCCTATAGATTCTGCTACTGTGATTATTTTTGTTTGCATGTCATCTTCAATTGATTATATAAGGTATTTAAAATTTTACGGTTGACAAATATTTCAGCTTTCCAATGTTTAAATAAGGGCATCCTCCATTAAACATCTTTACACATAAATGTACACACATTGTTCTTTGAACCAAGTCCCAGGAGTGAGATGATTTGGTGTTGGCCTCTGGCTGCTTTTGCTTTCCCCTCTGTTTTCAAACCACATGGATGAACCAGGGTCAAGATCACAGCAATTTTTTTGTGGATTGTTGTGGTAAGTGATGGAATTTTCAGTTTTGATAGGAAAGGTGTTAAATTCTAAGCATACATCAGATTGTAGAATTTCCTCCCCTCTTTCATTTCACTGCACCGAAGTTACCAGGTTAGATCAGAAATGCTAAGGAATGAAGGGAGACCACCTTTATACTATTTTGTTTATCTGTTATTTGCTTCTAGAGTGGTGAGCCATAATAAGGCTTATGACTTAGGTTTGGGACTGCAGGAAAGAGCATGAGGAACCCACTTAAGATTGTTTTGAATGTCATAGGAAGCTCAGGGATACCTAGGTAAAGGAATCTGGCCCCCTCAACTAACCTAACTTCCTAAAATCAAATCTGCAATCTAGGGCAAATGCTTAAGAAGAAAAGATCCAAAGTGCATAAGGGTAAATAAACCGTGATACTGTTATGCACGAGAAGACATCGGGAGAGATGGTTATAAAATAAATCCTCATTCTGTGGCCCTGTCTGCTAAAAACTCAAAGTCAAGATGTTTCCAAATCATGGGTTTAAGTGAGGACATCAGTTTTTGGCCCTCTTTCGCCAACCAGATGGAGCAGAGCTCAAGACAAGACCTGGTCTGCTCATGTTCCAGGCTTAGATGGCACTTGATTCCAACATTCAGCTTCCTAACCAACATACAAACTTGAGTTCACAGATAGCTCTTTCATAACTCTTCTCTGTGAAAACCTTCATTTGCAAATATTTGCCTTCACCAAACCTGGGCACTGACTACCTACAAAAGTGCCACTTGCTTTTCATCTTCCAACCACAACCATGTCCCTGGAGCCAGTGTCTATAAGCATGGGGAAGGCAGGGCTTTCTAACAGCCCCGGAGAGGGAACATACAGGGCCATAGCTTTGGCACCTACCAACTGACTTCAACGGGAAAGTTAAAACTTGTGCCTCTTTTATATACTAGATATCCATATACAAATTGTGTTACAAAGTGCTTCTCATACCTATTTTTACAAGATGAAAACTGTTGGTAAAATGGAAAGGTAAAATGGTTTGGGAGTAAGTCACATCGGAATCTCCCGGCTAAGTCTAGCATCTGGGGTTGATCCCTACGTATGTCGCTGACATGTGAGGACTCTGATAGAGAATAGACAGGACCTGGTATGTTTTTTGTGTCCTTCCTGACACTGTGAGGAGGAAAGCACATGGCCTGGGGGCTAGAGAGAAGCTGCTGGACTGTAAATCCCACACAACCACTCATTAGCTCCACGCCCACGGGCAAGTTTCTCTCAGCCTCAGGTTCCTAAATGGTAATACTTACTTCAGAAAGTTGATGAAACAATTAAATGAGAAAACTCCTATAAAAGGGATAGGGCATGCCTAATAAAATGGACTCGGCCATGTGCCAGTCTAGCACCCCAACCACCATGCCACCTGCTGGGCCCGATGGCTCCTGTCTTGCTACTCTTTCTTTTGAAAATCACATGTCACCCCACACTCCATCACTGTGTGGTTCTGCTCTATTCCACTATGTTATCTGAAGGTAGCATAAGAAGTTGTGTCCCAAGAGAGTCACTCCTAATGTGTAATGACAAGCCCTGGGAAGATGTTTACTTTTACCGAAATAAAATCTAGACTGCAGAGGGAGGTAAACTTTGGGATGGTGGGTGTACGTAGAGAAAACTAAATCCCAAAGTATTTTCCAGCACACCATGAGATGCCACAGCCATGTTCAAAGGCGAAGATGGTTTTTCTTCACCACACACACTGTACTATATACCAGGGGGTACATAAACCAAGCAGGAAACCAACCCGCTTTGAAGAACTGCAGTTTAGCAAGTTTTCTATGTGAAAGTCATCAAAATGATTCATATGTGCTTAATGCAAGCTCCTAAGTCAAAAATTCATACTCAGGTTTGGATGGCAAATGCAGGAAACAACAGTTATCAATCAGTAAATGAAGTAAAGCTAAGGCGATCAATCTATCAGCTAAAATATTTTGGTCTTGACTCAAATGTTTAAAAAATAAACTATTACAAGCTCTATAAAAAAATTAGTCTAAGGTCGACTCCATGGGTTAGTGGTTAGGAAGCTGGATCCCACATGGCTGATTGCACAGCTCGAGTCTGGCCCTGGTGGCTTGAAAAACATGCTGGGGGTGTCCATGTGTGAGAAAGCTCCAAATCACAACAGGACGGAGCAATGGAAGAGAAGAGAGAGTGTGACCACACCATACTGTGGATGCTTTCTCTCTCTCCTTCTCCATCTTTTTCTGGAGAGTGAATGCACTCTCTGGTAAAGAGAAAAAGAAGGGAACCAGCAGTTAGCATAATGGCTATGTTGCTGGACTCCCATGTAGTTGCCCGCAGTTCGAGTCCCAGACCTGGTGGCTTAAACTCATGCCAGGGGCGTGTGCATGTGTGCCCAAGATCCTGAGAGGAGAATGGAGGAGAAGGGATTGCAGCGTGGCCATCCCCCCGGGTTGGGGGGTGATTGCTCGCTTTCTGTCTCTCTATGTCTCTCTGTCTTTCTGGTGAACGCAAGCACCCTATAGCAAAAACCTCTCTCAAAAAAAAAAAAGAAAAGAAAGAAAAAGAAAAAAAAAAGAAGAAGAAAAAAGCTGGTCTAACTTCATCTAAAAAATTAGTGCCCATGTTAAAGTTCACAATAAGTCCTGCAAATATTCCAGAATGTGATGACAAAGATTAATTTTAATGCAATTTTGTCACTATTTTACTTTGATACTGGATAAAAATAAATTTGACTTATTTCAAATAGTCTGAACCATCAAAGGAAATTTCTCTTTTCCTTTCAAATAACATGGATGGAGTCCTGGGGTTTGAGGGAGTGTAAAATATCAAAATGTTTTTGGCACTTTCATTTCCTCATCAGTAAAAATAAATAACAGTAAGTCTATAGCTTTGCTATGTTGTAGTGATGTTGTGAGATTAAAAATGTAATTTGTGAAGTGGAGGGTATTATATGAATTTAGTACTTGTTGTTTGCTATTGTCCCAACCTGACTCTTGCCTCCCCTGCTTCTTCTACATCTTATTTCTGGACTGACTCCTACCGAAACTTCACGATCAAGCATGGCACCCCCTGCTCCAAGAAGCATGACCGGGTCTATCCTTCCCCGTCCCTCTTCCTGCAGCACCTTGAGCTGCCTTTAGCTCTGATTACAGGGAAGTGCAGTTGACCGTGGAAGATCAGACCACAGCTGCCATCCTAACACTCACATGGCCACCACCATCAATCCTGCTACACGCACTTAAGTTCTGCATGCTTTACCTTCACCTGCTGAGTCTGATTTTCTCAGCAAAGAGGAAACTCTTCGATGGCTAGCAAGTGGCATTGTGGTTGAGGCGCTGGACTCCCACATGGCCAACCACGGTTTAAGTCCTGGGCCTGGTGGCTTGAAACTCATACCAGGCATGTGTGTGTGTGCATGCCCAAAATCCTGAGAGAAGAATGGAGGAGAAGGGATTGTGGTGTGACCCTCCCCCTGGGGTGGAGGTATTTTCTCATTTTCTATATCCCCTGTGTCTCCTGCAAGCATGTATGTCTTATAGTAATAATAATCTCTCTTTTAAAAAAAAGGTGGGGGGAGAGGACCAGCAGTTAGCACAATGGCTATGTCGCTGGACTCCCATGTAGTCAACCGCAATTTGAGTACCAGACCCAGTGGCTTAAACTCAGGCCAGGTGCATGTGTGTGCGCGCCCAACATCCTGAGAAGAGAATGGAGGAGAAAGGATTGCGGCATGGCCAGCCCCCCTGGGGGGGTGATTTCTCGCTTTCTTTCTCTCTGTCTCTGTCTTTCTGGCGAGCGCACATGCCCTATAGCAAAAACCTCTCCAAAAAAAAAAAGGAAACTCCTTGAAACAAACAAAGTGCAGTTTTTATTCACGGACTCAAATATTTTACTTTTTTAAAAAAAAGAATTAGTTTATTGGGGCCGGCAGGTGGCATGGTGGTTGAAGGTGCTAGATTCCCACATGGCCGACCGCAGTTTGAGTCCTGGACCTGGCAGCTTGCTTTCTCCCTTTCTCTCTCCCTCTCTCTCTCTCTGTCTCTCTCTGGTCAAACATAAAAAAGCTGCCAGATCTAGAACTCAAACCGGAGTCGACCATGTGGGAGTCCAGTGCCCTTAACCACCATGCCACCTACTGGACCCACTTTACTCTTTTTTAAAATAACCAGTTTTCTGCTTATTTTACTACCAGGTAACACATACAGAAATACTCTAAAATCCTTACTGTTCTAAATATTTACCCAGCCCAAATGTTGTTCAAGGAAAACTATGAAGTGCTTTTGATATTAAAAGATATGAGATATAAAGGTATGAGATATAAAGAGTTAGAACACATTGGGCATAGTTGATCTTTTCTCTGTTTTTTTAGAGAGGTTTTCGCTATAGGGCGTGTGCGCTCGCCAGACAGACAGAGAGAGACATAGAGACGGAAAGCGAGAAATCACCCCCCGGGGGGATGGTCATGCCGCAATCCCTTCTCCTCCATTCTCCTCTTGGGATCTTGGTCATGCACGCACACGTGCCCGGAGTGAGTTTTAAGCCACCGGGTCCGGGACGCGAACCGTGGTCGACTACGTGGGAGTCCAGCGACATAGCCATTACGCTAACTGCTGGTTCCCGGGCATAGTTGATCTTATGTGATGATAAAGCTGGTAGAATTTCTTGTTGCACTGAGGGATAAATACCTAAATATGTGATAAGCAAGCAGAGTACAATGTGTATAGCAGGACCTAGGTGGCAGGTATATGAGAGTTCACTACAAATTTTGTTCAACTTCACCGAATGTCTGACAACTTTCCTAATAAAGTATCAGAGGCAGGGGCCAGCAGGTGGTATGGTGGTTACAGGCACTGGACTCCTACATGGCCGACTACAGTCTGAGTACAAGACCTGGCAGCTTGCTTTCTCACTTTCCCTCTCTCTCTCTTCCTGTCTCTCTCTGGTCAAATTAAATTAAAAACAGATAGTAATAATAAATAAAATGAAATAATTCTTTAAAAAATAAAATATTTAGGACCAGTAGATGGCATAATGGTTACGTCACTGGACTCCCACATAGTTGACCATGGTTCAAATGCCGGACCTGCCAGCTTAAAAGTCATGCTGGGAGTACGTGCGTGCGTGCCCAAAATCCAGAGAGGAAAATGGAGAAGAAGGGATTGTGGTGTGGCCACACCCCCAGGGAGTGATTTCTCGCTTTCTGTCTCTCTGTCTCTGTGTCTCCACCAAGCACACACACACTATAGCAAAAATGTCTCAAAAAATAAATAAATAAACAAAATAAAATAAAATATTGGAAGCAATCTGAGTCACAGAGGTAACTCCACTTCTACTAATAAATCTCATGTTAACTATTTCCATGACTTACGCACTGTGCTTAAATTCTGTAAGTCTTTATTATTTACTAGCAAACAGGACTGTATTTGTCTTTTTCTGCTTACCAGGCAGCTGAGAGGATGCAGTGAGGCAACACAGGTGACATCTCAGTACCACACCCATCTGCAGAAGCAGAGAGCTATTCTACAACTGCGAGCGAGGGTCCAGCCCTCGAGGCTCCCTCTGGGTTCACCCTTGTGAACACACGAGAATGTCCTCAAGTCTCCTTCTCACCAGGTTTCTCACGACTCACCGTTTGTTTTCTGTCTCCAGGTTCACAGTCATTTTCATATACTGATCTTCCTTTCTTTCTTCCAAAGTGGCAGACACAAGAGAAAGCTCCCCAAAGAGGGACACCAGCCAGGTCAGTCGAGAAATGCCACTGAATGCAGGGAAGCCAAACCGCTGTTCTTCCAACGGGCCAGCTGTGGGGAATCAAAAATGCCATGGGAACTGAGAAGGAGGGACTTGCAGGTGTAGAGCAGGATCCAGGAGCTGACTAGGGAGTGAAAAGATGAGGCAGAGGGCTCAGGACAGTGAGCCCTGCCTTACTAGGAGGGTGCACAAGATACCTGATAACACCAATGAAAGTTCAGGTGGCTAAACTTAAACTCTTTAAAAAAAGCACCTCCCTTTTTTCTTGTTTCTTAAAGCCAGTTTTAGTAAAACAAAACATTCTACAGAAACGGCAGTCAATCCAGCCAATTAGAATTCATTATTAACAGTGAGTATATTCTGAAAAAGGAAGTTACACATAAAAGCAAGCAAAATGAAAAGTCTCATATACAACACGGTTTAAAATCACTCAAATTAAGTATCAAATTTATTTTTAAAATAAAGTGGGGGATGTCCCTCTGGGCTGACTGCCATCTGCTCTAGTTCTCTGGACAGACTACTAAGCAGCCACTGAAAATTCAAGCCACATCATCAAAGACCAGCTTCAGTCTGGCTCTGTCGCATGCCTTGTGCTGTGGACTCTGTGGAGCTACTTACTCTTTAAAAAACTTTTCTTTTGCTGTAGGCCATCCCGGGGGGTGGCGGCTGGCCATGCTGCACCCCTTCTATTCTGCCCTCTTGGGTTTTTGGGCATGCACATACATATGCCCCACATGCTTTTTATTTTTTAATTATTTATTATCATTATTATTTATACATTCAATTGCAAAACACCACTTAGATTGTAAAGAGAATTGAGCCAGCATGAAATACACCTCAGACTAGCCCAGATGAGAATACTACACGTCATCATCACCCGACAAGCTTTTCAAGCTGCCAAGTCCAGGACTTTAACTAGACAGTTGGCCCTGTGAGACCCAGGCACCGTGTCACCGGCCAGCCTGCTACTTACCTCTTGAGCCTCAGTTTTACTACTTATGTAATGGGGGTGATAAATACTTCAGAGATCCAACCACTGTGTCACTGGCCAGCCTGCTACTTACCTCTTGAGCCTTTGTGTAACGAGGGTAATAAATACTTCATAGCACTGTCATATGAATTAACATGTAATTTTTATGCATGTCATGTATGTAGCATAGTTTCTTATATGAATTAATGATTATTTATTGCCATAACTCTCATTATAATATCATTTTCAAGGATGAAAATAACTCTTTTTTTTCGAGAGAGAGAGGTTTTTGCTATAGGGTGTGTGTGCTCACCAAAAAGACAGAGAGAGACAGAGAGACAGAAAGTGAGAAATCACCCCCCAGGGAGGATGCCCTCGCCACAATTCCTTCTCCTCCATTCTCCTCCCAGGATCTTGGGCATGCACACACACGCACCTGGCGTGAGTTTAAGCCACAGGGTCCAGGACTTGAACTGCCATCGATTACATGGGAGTCCAGCGACATAGCCATTACGCTAACTGCTGGTCCCAAGGATGAAGATAACTCTTAAAAATGAGGTTCTACTGTGTTTACTGGAAACCTAGAAAAAGATAAGTGGTTTTCCCACTCAACAGTGCCAGACCAGTCAGGGTCTCTTTTCTACAATATAAGCCCTCAGGAAAGATGGCCCTCCGAGAAAGCCAGTGAAGGAATCATAGAGGTGACTGCGAGAACAGAAGGTTCCAGCATACTCATTTCCTACCGCTAATGGAACGGCTCAAAGAATGACTAACAGGGAGTACACGGTCAAATACACGCTAAGTCAGATCCTGTGGTGTGGCCGATGTCTTGGAACTCCCTGAGGAAGGAAAGAACTATGCACATTTTCTTTGTTCTGCAAAGAGATATATAAAAATGTTCTCTTCAGGGCAGCAGATGGTGTAACAATTATATCACTGGACTCCCACATGGCCAACTGCAGTTCAAGTCCTGAACTCGGTAGCTTCAAAATTACACCAGGCATGTGTGCGTGCGTGCCCAAGACCCCAGGAGGAGAATGTAGGAGAAGGGAATGCAGCATGGCTATCCCAGGGTGATTTCTCACTTTCCCTCCTACTGTCCCTATCCCTCTGCCCTCCCCCCTCCCAGCAAGCACATACACACTACAGCAAAAATCACCTTAAAAAAAAAAAGTTCTCTTCTACGAGCACATACCTCCCAGTCCTTTTAAAAGAGTTTTAAAAGGGGCTAGCAGGCGGCAAAGTGGTTAAGGTGTTGGACTCTCACATGGCCAACTGTGGTTCAAGTCTTGGACCTGGTAGCTGGCTTTCTCACTTTCCCTCTCTCTCTCTGTCTCTCTGGTGAGCACATGACTCTAACAGAAAAATTTTAAATAATAATAAATTCAATGAATAATTCTTTTTTTTAGAGAGAGAGATTTTTGCTGTGTGTACTCACCAGAGAGACAGAAAGCAAAGAAATCACAGGAGGGATGTCCATACCACAATCCCTTCTCCTCCATTCTCCTCTTGAGATTTGGGCACAGACGTACACATGCCCAGCATGAATTTTAAGCTGCCAGGTCTGGGATTCGAACCATGGTCAACTATGTGGGGAATCCAGCAATGTAACCATTAAAACATCTGCTGGTCCCAATAATTCGTTTTTTAAAAAAAGTTTTCACACATAACCTACTCTAAAAAAACAACGTCCGGTTTCTTCAGATTTCATGAATGGCTCAGCTCTTCAGGCTGGGATTATATAGGAGGCCTGGGCTTGATTCCCGGTACAACCCCAATATGAGTGTTGGTAATCCCAGCATCGCAGGGAGGATAGGGCAGAAAGATCACAAGCTTGACTCTGGCATGTGCAAGAAAGCTTGTCTGAAAACAGAGCCAGGGCAAAAAAAAAAAAAAAAAAAAGTTTCATCGTGGAAAAGCCTGCCTAATTGAGTTAGAGGCATAGATATGGTCAAGAATTCTAACACGCTTTTTCTAACATACTTCTTATTCAAGTCTAACAACCGTTAAGTTTCATCTGAGGACAGACTAAAAATAAATATTTTATTGTTTATGGAAACATGAGAAAATCAAATTAAACTGGCCCAGAGCCAGAGAGTCTTTGGCAGAAATGAATCCTAGCTCCTATCTTAGAGCTAGGAAAGAATCCAGCTGACCTATGACTTCACCTGTGGCCTGTCAGCTAGCCCAAAACTGACCTGTAAAGAGAAGTGACCCTTTCAGCAAGTCCTTCCCCACCACTTCTTTCTTCAGGAAGGCAAACTCCTCCATTAAGAGTTCAATATGCTCCTCGTGTAAGACTTTTCCTGTCATAACAAAACATGGAATGAAAAAGACAGTTATCACCCAGTGTGCGTAGCTGTGCATTCAGAGTCAGTGTCTGAGCTCCTCCAGAACAGGACACCTAACAGAACCACCCCAGCACATGCCCTGGCCAGTTCAACACCATCACCCACTGCAGCGAACGTGCCAGTTCTGATCTCATAACACAAGTGAACATCTAAGAAAGCAGAAGCTTAGTTTAGTGACACGTGCCGATAGTCCCAGCTACTAAAACAGAGGAGTCCCAACATAGTGACATCCTGTCTTAAAAACAAGCAAAACAAACAAAGAACACAAGATAGTATCCATCTGTCCCAAAGGTAAGGTGAAATTATGGAAGTGTCTGAGAGCCAAGACAGTCAGCTTCTGCTCTAGACAGGAGGGGCTAGTGTAGCATAAAAATCTAAGAAACAGAGTAGAAAGGGGTTATGTGGACTGAAGTAGGAAGCTATTATTTATCTGAAGGACTGGTATTGAATAGAATCAGGTTTTTTAATTGAACTTTATTTATTTATATATTTATTTTCATTTGACCAGAGAGGGACAGAATGAAGACCCGAGAGAGAGAGAAAGCGAGAAGGCAAGCCACTAGGTCCCAGACTCGTCTGAGTTAGCCAGGTGGGAGTCCAGTGCCCTTAACCACCATGCCACCTGCCAGCCCCAGAATCAGAATTTTTTTTTAATGACCTAGTTTGTAGAGAGGAGAAAACCTTAATATTTATAGCTAAAGGTTTGGATTCTAAAAGCAGCTGTTAAAATTTTTGCTCTGGTAGATCTTGCTTTATCTAGGCCAGAAGTTTTATGAAGTGCCAGAACTGTTTTGTGACTAGTGCAAAGCACAGTGATGATCTAGTTTCACTGAAACAGAAATCTGGGCCCCTGGAAACTGGCCAGGGGGTGGTCAAGCTCTGCCTAACCCAGCTTCCCAGTAAGCACTACTCAATGTTCTGGCTTGTTCTGTACCTGCTCAGTGAGCAGGCATGTCACCTAAAACTCCAGGAGAGTCAGGTGTATGGGAGAGCACGTCCTTCCCAACCACTCCCCAGCACATGAACATGACAGAGAGAGCTTCTTTCCACACAGAGAAGCCTTCTGGCCCAAAATGGTTTAGTAGAAGCTAAATGTCATTAAATGGTTTAAAGAAAGATGAAGCTTCTCTCCCTGTGGGTAGTTTCATCCTTGCCTCTGAGGAGACTTTGGAAATCTGGGAAGCTGACCCTGTAGGGGAGCATGCTGTGTTCTCTCTGGCACTAAGTCCTTTGTCCTTTTTTTTTTTTTTTTTGGTTGGGGGATATTTTTGCTGCAGGGCATGTATGCTCACCAGAGAGAGAGAGAGACAGAGAGACAGAAAGGGAGAAATCACACCCTGGGGGGATGGCCATGCCATAGTCCTGCATTGTCCTCTTGAAATTTTTGGCATGCACACACATGTGACTGGCACAAGTTTCAAGCCTCTGGGTCTGGGACTCAAACCACAGTCAGCTGTGTGAGAGTCCAGGGACGTAGCCATTGTGCCATGTGGTGGTCACCTTTGCCTATTTTTTAGCCATCTTACTTGATTTTTTGGTTGTTGTTGAGCTTAGAGTTCTTTGGATATTCAGGCCATTAACCTCTTAACAGAGAGATGACTTACAAATAACTTTTCCCATTTGTATGCTGCCTTTCACTGTGCTGATTACTTCCTTTGGTGCATAATAGCTTCTAATTTTGATGTATCCAATTGCCTATTTTTGCTTTTCTTGTCTGTGCTTTTGATGTCATAACCAAGAAATTACTGCCGAATCAAATGTCATGAAGCTTTCCTCTATATTTTCTCCTAGGAATGTTTTAGTTTTAGATCTTTAATCCATTTGAATTAATTTTTTTTAATGATACATGGTAAGGGATCTACTTCACCTTCTGCATGTAGATATCCAATTTTCCCGGCACCATTTGTTGAAGACACTGCCCTCTTCAGCAAAGTCATTTGGTCCTAAGTTTTTCTTTCTTGGGAGGTTTTTGATTACTAATTTCAATCTCCTTACTAGTCACAGAACTGTTCAGGCTATAACTTCTTCATGAATCAGTCTTCGTAGGTCGTATGCTACTAGGACTTTTGTCATTTTGTCTAGGTTATCCAACTGTTGAAATATAATTTTGCATAGTTGCCTCCTAAAATGCTTTTTATTTTTGTGGCATCAGTTGTAATGTCTCCTCTTTCATTCAGTTTGTAGTTATTAGAACCTTCTTTTTTTTTTTTGAAGAGATTTTTGCTATAGAGAGCATGTGCTCACTGGAGAGACAGAGGGAGACAAAGAGACACAAAGCAAGAATCACTCACCGAAGGGGATGGCCACGCTGCAATCCCTTCCCCTCTTGGGATTTTGGACATGCATGCAGACTTGCTCAGCGTGAGTTTCAGGCCACCAGTTCTGGGACTCAAACCATAGTCAGCCACTTCGGTGTCCCGTGCCTTAACTGCCATGTCACCTGGTGGCCCCTCTTTTTTTCTTATTAGCATGTTCAGGTTTTGTCAATTTATTTATTTAAAAAAAAAAACTTTTCATTGATTTTTTTTTCTAATCTTCTTTTAAAGTTTTGTTTTTCCTGCTCTAATCACTATTTCTTTCCTTCTAACTTAGGATTTAGTTTTCTAGTTCCTTGAGGTATAAAGTTAGCTTGGTGATTTGAGTTCTTCCTTCTTGTTTAATGTAAGCATTCGCCACTATAGTAAACCTACATGTTAGTACCATTTCCATTATATCTCGTAAACGTAGGTATTGTGTGTGCTCATTTATCTCAAAGTATTTTCTAATTCCTCCTGTGATGTCATCTTTATCCGCTGGTTAATTCAAAGTGTTTCACTTTCTTGGGCCAGTCCCCTAGCACAGAAGTTAAGCACTGGGCACAGGGGAGCCAGGTTCCACATGGATCACCCCAGTTTGAATCCCAGCCCTAGAGAACTAAAAACATGCCAGCTGAATGTGCATTAGTGCCCCAAATCCTGATGTGATACAAGAAAAATGTCTGTTATGTGACATACCACTGGAAAATAATTTATCTTGCTCTCTCTCTCTCTGGCAATAAAAAAGTAAATTAAAAAAGTTGAATTTCCACATATTTATGAATTAAGTAAATAAAAAAAGTTGAATTTCCACATATTTATGAATTTTCTAGTTTTCTGTCTGACACTGATTTTTAGTTTTGACTGTAATCAGAAAATATATTTAGTATGATTTCAATCTTCTTAAATTTGTTAAGACTTATTGTGGCCTATGTGTGGCCTACCCTGGAGAATGTTTCATTCTGCTGAAGGAGAATGGATGTGCTGCTGCTATTGGGTGAAGTGCTTTGTATACATCTGTTAGGTCCCACTGGTCGATAGTTGTTCACATAATCGGATTCTGTGTTGATCTTCTGTCCAGTGTTCTAGCCGTTACAGAAACAGAGTACTGAAGTATCTCCACTATTACTGTGCTGCTTTCCCAACAATTCTGTCAGGGTTTTACTTCATATATTTAGGAGCTCTGATGTTTTATCATTACTTAAAATCCTCCTTCACTCTTGTGATAGTTTTTGACTTAAAATCTATTTTGTTTGATGTAAGTGCAGCTAATTCTCTCTTTTGGTTGCATGGAATATAACTTTCCATCCTTTCACTTTAAAGTGTGTCTTATATCTAAAGTGAGTCTCAAGAAAGACCAACCCTGTATGTCCCTACTCAATATATTCTGAATGCCTGACTTTACAGCGGAAATGGAAAGATCCAAAGATCTAGCAGTAGGGAGGTGTATGGGAAGGGAGTGGAGAGTAGAGGTTAGATGAGAGAGGTTCAGGGAAGAAATACTAAACAGACATAAGAATGTAAATTTGTCTGTTGAAAATGACATACATGGTAAGAGCTTTGATTTGAGTATCACATTCTGTCTGCATACTTGGAAAAACCATATTGTGTGCTATAGAGATATGCAATGATCATTAAATCATGAAATTAAAAGAAAAATCTGGGACCAGCAGGTAGTATAGTGGTTAAGGCACTGAGCTCCCACATAGTTGACAATGGTTCAAGTCCTGGAACCAGCAATCTGAAACTCAGGCCAGGCACGTGTGTGTGGGTGCCCAAAATCCCGAGAGGAGAATGGAGAAGAGATTGCCGTATGGTCATCCCCCCGCGAGATGATTTTTTGCTTTCTGTCTCTCTGGCAAGCGCACACATCCTATAACAAAAATCTCTCAAAAAAAATAAAATAAATCTACTGTCATTTTCAAAAAATATAAAGTGAGTCTCGTATAGATAATATATAGTTGGATCTTATTTGTTATTATTATTTATTTATTTAATTCTATTATTTCAATTAAGTAAAAGGCACATGCTCACCAAAGAGAGAGAGAGAGAGAGAGAGAGAGAGAGAAAGTACGACCCTAGGTTCAGAACCTGAACTGTAGTCAGGCATGTGGGAGTCCAGCACCCCAACCATTGCGCCACCTGCTGGGCCCTCGTCTTGTTTTTTTTGTTTTTGGGTTTTTTTTAATCGAGTTGGCCAATGTTACAATTACACAGTTAAATCCATTTACACTTATAGTAATTACTAACAGGGCTTTAGTAACATCATTTTGTTACTTGCTTTCTGTATGTTGTATATTCATTCTGTCTCTCTTTTCCTCTCTTACTGCCTTAGCATTTTGGTTTTTGTTTTGTTTGTTTTTGCCTATGTGTGGTGATAGGCTTTGATTCATTTATTATTTCCCTTTTTGTACCTAAATAAATATTTTCTTTGTACTTTCAATGTACTTTTAAATGTCACCTTTCTGCCCAGCCAGTTCACACAAGTTACTCTTGGCTACCAGGGGGATTCTATAAATATCTTAAAGTTATCCACTACATTGTCAGGAAAGTCGTGATGTGTTTTTCTATGCAAAAAAATACATCACAACTTTCCTGACAACCTGATATTTTAAACTGATAACGAATTCATTTTAATCACATACAGAAATTCTCTTTCCTATCTCTGACCTCCTACTTTATTGTTGATGTCACAATTTACATCTTTTTGTACGTATTGTATATATAAATGTGTGTGTGAGAGAGAATTTTTTTTGTAAGAGAAAGTTTTGCTATAGGGCATGTGTACTCACTGGGGAGACAGAGACAGAGAGACAGAAAGTGAGAAATCACCTTTCAGAGGATGGTCACACCACAATCCCTTCTCCTCCATTCTCCTCTTGGGATTTTAGGCAAACAGGCACATGTAAAAAAATACATCACAACTTTCCTGACAACCTGATATTTTAAAGTGATAACGAATTAATTTTAATCACATACAGAAATTCTCTTTCCTATCTCTGACCTCCTACTTTATTGTTGATGTCACAATTTACATCTTTTTGTACGTATTGTATATATAAATGTGTGTGTGAGAGAGAATTTTTTTTGTAAGAGAAAGTTTTGCTATAGGGCATGTGTACTCACTGGGGAGACAGAGACAGAGAGACAGAAAGTGAGAAATCACCTTTCAGAGGATGGTCACACCACAATCCCTTCTCCTCCATTCTCCTCTTGGGATTTTAGGCAAACAGGCACATGTTCCTGGCATGAGCTTCAAGCCAGTGGGTTGCGAACTTAGTCTTGACTATGTGAGAACCCAGCAACATAACCTTTATGCCATCAGCTGGTCCCTACGTTATACATTTTAAACGCATAAACTTAGCCTGGTACCTCGTAGAGTGTCATATCTTCTAGTTTTCCTGCTTTCTTAGGATGGCATTCCTATGTCCTGGCATTTTCAGAGTTTGATTTAAATCTCAATTATATTTAGGTAAATGTTTTGCTAGAATGTGTCATATGTAATGCTATGTACATCACGCCAATGGCTTTTGGTATCAGACCGACTCATATTAGCAATCATTTGTTTGGGACGTTGACAAAAGAGCTCTTCACTATAAGAGTACATTTTCTTCTCTTTGCACTTAGCCAGAAATCTGCAGGGGACTACTTTAGCATCTTGTAGTTATTTCAGGGACAGCTCTATGAGAAATAATATAAACAGTGATAGTCTCAAAGCTCCCCAATTTCTTCATTCACTTCTACATTCATTCATCTACCTGTTCATCCAACAAACATCTCTTCAAGGCCTACTAAGTTCTCGACACTGCTTGGCTTCTGGGGTTACAGAGAAGAAAAGTTAACACTGACCTCCAGGGACAGAGCTTAGCACTGGAGAAACACTATCAAAATGTCAGTATAGGGAACCAGCAGTTAGCATAATGGCTATGTCGCTGGACTCCCACGTAGTCGACTGCGGTTCGTGTCCCGGACCCGGTGGCTTAAAACTCATGCCAGGCACATGTGCGTGCGTGCCCAAGATCCTGAGAGGAGAATGGAGGAGAAGGGATTGTGGTGTGGCCATCCCCTCTGTGGGGGTGATTTCTCGCTTTCTGTCTCTATGTCTCTGTCTGGCGAGCGCACGCGTCCTATAGCGAAAACCTCTCAAAAAAAAAAAAAAAAATTTCAGTATAGTATGACCAGTCTACTTTGATGGTAAACACAAGATGCTTTCTTTGGTGATTTTCATTACAATTGTTCACTACACTTTGTCTATATGTTAAAGATTTTCAATAACAAAGTTGAAACAAAAGAGTTTATGACTTAAACTTCCCTTCCCTAACTCTTCTAACCACTAAACAGCCTAGTTAATTTTAGTTGCCTTCATAGAGGAACTTGTCAGTTATTGTAATGTATTAAGAGCTCCGGAAGGAAGTGTGGCTTAGGAAAAGAAATGTGGGCTTAAAAACCTGACAGAATTGGACCCCAAACTCCACTTCCTACTTAAAAAGTTGTGTTATTAACTTTGTGACCTGGCACAAATGATTAACTTCTCTGATCCATGATTTTGTCAACAGAGCTGGAGAAATCCTTCCCTCCAAGGGTTTCTATGAGAATTAAGCAAAATAAACACATGAAGTACTTAGCAGAGTTTCAAGTCCTTGGCATATACTAAATATTTAATAAATGGCTATTCATCTTGAGGAACAACTAAAACAACGATGTATGTATAGAAGACAATCAAGTACTCTGATCTGGGTATTTTTCCATTAGTAATAAGACATGAATAAAACCAAAACAATGTCATAGTACTACCAGAGATGGAAGCTAATTCCTACTTTTTCATTAGAGTCAAAGAAGCTAATACTCCTTGACCAAAAGTCTGCAAATTCCCCTCGCCCCAAACATACATCACCTTTCTGCTCAGCCAGCGCCCACAGTTCCTCAGCTGCTGCCCGAGACAGCGTCATGGGGTACTCCACAAGGACATGCTTGCCGGCATTAAGGAACTGCCTTTGGTAAAAGAGAAACAGGAAAAGAACACTTCAAATAAACTTCACCAAAATAGCCTACGTGCCAGAGAACAGAATATTACAACTGTGCAAGCGTCTCTGCAGGGAGCTCAGAGTCAGTGCCAGAGGAGATGATGGGAGACTTGTACTCACATTGTTTTCTACTACTCTGTGACAGAATGCCTTTCTTTCTTTTTTTTTTTTTTTTTTGGAGAGGTTTTTGCTATAGGGTGCATGCGCTCACCAGAAAGACAGAGAAAGACAGAGAGACAGAAAGCGAAAAATCACCCCTCAGGGGGGATGACCACGCCGCAATCCCTTCTCCTCCATTCTCCTCTCGGGATCTTGGGCATGCACACACATGTGCCCGGCGTAAGTTTAAGCCACTGGGTCCGGGACTCAAACCACGGTTGACTACATGGGAGTTCAGTGACATGGCCATTACACCAACTGCTGGTCCCCAGAATGACTTTCTAGTTATGCACTAACTCAAACATTCATTCTCTCCTTTATTCAATTAAGTACCATTTATCAGTTACTCAGGAACAGAAATAAAGACACATTAACAAACAAATTACCTATTAGCAAGTTAAGTATAAATAAGAACTATGAAACTCAAGGCAGCTAGCTCTGTTCAAAGCCACCTGCAAAGATTTCACTACGGACTTCTGAACTGGGAGTTGAAGTATGAGGAGGCATGTTCTCGGTGGGAAGGGATGAGTGCATTTCACTTTGAGCAGTTTGTACCCAAAATGCCAGGGAATTCCATGTGGCTTAAGTCATTTGCAAATTTCATAATGGCAAGAAAGAGACTGGAGAGAAACACTTGGTAAACAGAGCTGGGGCCTGACTGTGAGGGACCCAGTATACGGTGTCCAGGACTTTAGATTATATTCTCCTTATACCCAGGGACAAACATTTATATACATGGAGTCACAAGATGGCTTCTGAAAGGAAAGATGTTCTGGTGCTAGAAAAAGTTAAGGAAACCCAAGGAAAAGCATTTGTGTCTACTCTGGAGTCACACTGATAAAGAAGGAGCCTACTGAGGAACAGCCTGATGGTGGCGGCTGGAGTTTGGTGTAGACAAGAAGCTGAGATTCAGGGTAATGGCAGGTACTTCCCAGTTTCCTGCCAGGTCCTGCCTGGGGCTCCTCCTTCTGGGCTTGGTCTCACCAATGCTTAAAGGGCTCTAAGATTTGTGTCTGCCACATGGGGAAGGGGTGAGCTTCATTTCACCTGTTCTGCAATGAACATCATTTCCCCTCTTCGAAGCCAGCACTATTTCTTCACTCATTTATTTCATGGCAAAAGCAATTCATATTAAAAAAGTTCTTGGAAGTATTTCATGGCATGCAAAGCACAAAAGATAACATAGTAGAAGCAGATCCTAACTTAGAACGGAGTATGACAATTTGCCACGGATGCTGGCCCTGTCTCGCAAACAGCTATATGAAGAGAACAAGTTAAGCACAGTGATGCTCAATGGTTTTTTGAAAAAAATAAAATAATTTAATTATGACTGTTTCTAAGGTTTCAAATTGCAGCACACTAAATAAATATGGGTTGTACAATTTCTTTCATTTCCTTATACATTTACAACTGAAGAGAGTTTTTTCTTTTTATATTTCAACGTTTTTCTTCTTAGTTTGCTATAGGGTGCATGCACTTGCCAGAGAGGGGGGGGAAAACTTTTCTCTCCATTCTTCTCTTGGGATTTTGTGCACATATACATACATTCTAGCGTGTTTTTCAAGTTGGCGGGTCCAGGACATGAATCACATAGTCATAGAATCCAGTTGCCTTAACCTCCAAGCCATCTGCTGACCCTGGACAATTTTTAAAGCACCGAACTTAAAAGAGAACTTGTAGAGTTCTTGTTTGTTTAGTCCTTTTTTAGAGAATTTTTTGCTATAGGGCACGTGTGCTCACCAGAGACAGTGAGAGAAAACAAATAACCCCACAGAGGGGACGGCCACGCTGCAATCCATTCTCCTTCAGTCTCCTCTCAGGATTTTCAGCACGCATGCACATGTGCCTGACCTGAGTTTAAAGCCACCATGTCGAGGGCCTGAATCGCAGTCGACTATGTGGGAGTCCAGGTATGGTATCTGCCGGTCCCTGCTTAGTCATTTTAAAATCTTGCATTACTGTGCAGAGTAAAGATGATCTGCATTGAAAACCCACTTGATGGGGCTAGCAGGTGGCATCGTGGTTGAGGCACCGGACACTCCTCCATTGCCAATGCCAGTTCAAGTCCCAGATCTGGCAGCTAGTTTCTCACCTTCCCTCTCTCGTGAATTTAGTAATAATAAACAGAATTCAAAAATTAATTCTTTAAAAAAAAATGTAAGGAAAAAGAAAACCTACCTGATGTAGTCCTCATGGCTAGAGCTTTCGCTGCAGATATAGGCGACCTCAACCTCTCGGCTGGAAAGAGCATCTTCCAAAGAAATTTGCTGAACTTCATCAATGCTCCCAAGCTCACGTCTATTTCAGAATAACAGAAATGATACTCAAAAGTAGGGATAATGTTGACTTCAAATAAATAACAGCCTTTTCTTTCTCATTCCCCCAAGAATGTCCCAGGGATCACGTTTGATCACAATTAATCTCCTCCCTCCCACATCCAGGGTATCTTCCATGGTGCAGGTTAAAGTCAGAGGATCTGGCTTCGAGTGCCAACACTACCGGAAATAGTGTGTATATCTGAGAGTCTTTCAATTACTTCATTTCTAAATAAAAAAGAATGATCTGTTTCTATTGGGTCGTCAGAAAAGTCATGATACATTTTTTTGCACAGAAAACATAGAAAAATACATCATGATTTTTCTGACAACCCAGTACCTCATGAAAAGTGTTATCTATGACTGCCTTCAGTTCCGAGCACCTAGGTGAACGTTACAACTACCAAACCTCATCTAAACCCAATGCACTAACAGGTTTTCAGTGCCAACTGCCATGCGACTGCAAGGTCTTTCACGCACTTCATGGCTTAGTGACAGTCTGGTGGAAGTCAGGTGTCACTGCCTCCTCTGTGGTGGAGCTAATGAAGCTCCAAATGCCAGTGACTGCCACAGTTACTTAGGAGCAAAGGCAGGACAGGAACCCAAAGGCTTTCCGACTCACAGTGCAATAAATTCCTGCCTTAAAAGAGCCAAAGCCCTGGCAGTTTTCACACTGCCCTGATATGGACGCTGCAGCAGGAAGGTAGTCTTCCATGGGTGCCTGTCATGAAGGAACATGGGGCAGCCAGCAGGAGGCTCTCAGCCAGCTCCAGTCAAGCTGCAGCAGACAGGGGCACGTGGGGAAGTCTGGGTGCTAAAGGATATTATACCGAGTGTCTTCCTGTGTGGCTTCCCAATCCACACTACTTGGTTTGACCAATATTTATTGTTTGCCTACTGTGTACTAGGCACTGCAAGAGAGGAACCATGGAGAATAAACAATAAGATCCTCATCTCCCAATGAGCTCACAGACTGGTGGAGGGAGGAAGACACCCACAGGCACACAGAACGACAACAGTAAGACGGACATGACAAGTATCTGGGAAGTAAGGGTGGGACACTCAGAGAGGGTAAGGAATAGATAAGGATTTTAGAAAAGGCTTCCTGAGCCAGCAGATGGCATGGTGGTTAAGGTGCTAGACTCATGTATGGCTGACCACAGCTTGAGTCCTGAACCTGACAACTTGAAACTCACGCTAGGCATGTGTGCCTGTGTGCCCAAAATCCCAGGAGGAGGATGGGGAAGAAGGAATTGCAGTATGGCCATCCCCCCTGGGGTGGGGGTGAGTGGTTCTTACTTTCCCTCTCACTGGCTCTCTGTCTCTCTGGCAAGCACATGTGCCCTATAGCAAACACCTTCAAATATATATATATAGAAAAGGCTTCCTGGGAAGGTGGCAGAACTGAGCAATCAAAGATGGGGTGTAGGGTATGTGAGGAGGGAAGCAGGCGTGTGAACTGGCCATCTCCCCACATGACCTTGGTAGTTCAGGAGTTCCCTCTACATCAATCTCAGCAGCCAGTGGACGACTGGAGCTTAACAGAAAGGATGAGGTCCCACTTTAGCTTTGAGCCCAAATGTTAATCTTTTTTTTTTTTTTTGAGAGGTTTTTTCTCTATAGGGCGCATACGCTCGCCAGACAGACAGAGAGAGACAGAGAGACAGAAAGTGAGAAATCACCCCCCAGGGGGGATGGCCACGCTGCAATCCCTTCTCCTCCGTTCTCCTCTCGGGATCTTGGGCACGCACGCACTCGTGCCCGGCGTGAGTTTTAAGCCACCGGGTCTGGGACGTGAACCGCGGTCAACTACATGGGAGTCCAGCGACATAGCCATTACACTAACTGCTGGTCCTCCATGAGCCCAAATGTTAATCTTGATCCCAACTTCAGGTAGGGTGCAATGGGGGTTACAATGCTGCTAATAACTGACCTTCCATTAGAATCTTAAGGCGAGGCAAAGGTTGGCCAAGAGCAAATTCCAGTTCTCTAGGTCTCTGTAGTGCCCCCCAACTTATTTTTAAATTCTTAAAGGAGGGGCCAGGTTTTGAGAGAGATAGAGTGGAATAAAGCTGTTCTATGAATTAAAATATGAAAAAAGAAAACTTCTATAAGGACCAGCATAGTAGTTATTTACACTTTGTGTAAGTATTTATCTGATGTCTTTAGAGCACTAGAAAACAGAGACTAGGTGTAATTGAATTTCTGCCCTGTCTCCACACCCAGTTCAGTGCCTGAATCGTGTCTGTAATTAACATTCATAGCTGATATTATACAGGATAAGTTTGATGAGTGATGTGTGTGTGTCTCCATGTATAGGATTGAGGAGAAGAGCAGAGTGTGGAGCAGGGATGAGAAACAAGGTGATAAGTTTGATTTTGATTAAGTTACAGGAGACAAATGAATCCTTAAAGAAAAGTGAGGCAAAGAATTACCAAGGTGGGGGGGCAGGGGAACAGCTCTGTGGCATGGTGGTTAGGGAGCTAGATTCCCACAGTCGACGGTGTGGCTCGAGTCCTAGACGCAGTGATTGGTAAAACATGCCAGGTGCATGTGCATCTGTACCCCAATCCCGACTGTGTGGCTCGAGTCCTAGACGCAGCGATTGGTAAAATATGCCAGGTGCATGTGCATCTGTACCCCAATCTCATCAGGATGGGAAAATGGAGTGGAGATTGTGACGAGACCACACCCATGGAGCAGGTACTTTTCCCCTCTCCTTCTTTGCCTCTTTTTGGCGAACATCATGTGCCCTCTGGTAAATTATAAATAAATAAATAAACAATTTCTAAAAAGGAATAAAGAATTACCAATGAGAAACAGACACATGGTACTTAAAAGATGGGCCCTGAAATCACGCAGACTGCATTCGAATCTAGCTGTTAGACGTTCCCGCTGTAGGACCTCAGCCAAGCCACTTCCTTATCTGTAGGTGGGGTTGTTATGACACATGTCATATGTGAACCCAGGGCTACCCCACAGAGAGCTACTGTGGTGGCTGAAGTAACCTTAACTGGTGCACGACTGAAGCCTCTTTAGGCCAACCCCACCATATGTCCACTCTCCCCTCTGCAACGGCAAGCACTGCTCCAGGTCCCTGCCTGGGTCTCTGCAGTGCCCTCTAGGCTGACTCACTGCTCGTCCCAGCTCGGGTCCATCACTCTTCAGTTCCAGGCCCATCCAAGCTCAAGATCCTGTGGGGCTGACCCTAAGCATGGCTCTGTGCTGGGGAATTGGCTCTTTCCCCTGGATCTAGAAAATGTCCATGTTCTGTGACCTAACGTGTCTTGCTTAGCTGTCCACAAATTGAAGCATAAAGCAAGTGTGAGTCACCTGGATATGAAGCCAACCAGATTCAGAAACGCCGAGGAAGCATGTGGATTCCGCAAGTCCCTCATCCGCACGGAGCCGGCTCTGCCAACGCCAACCACCACCACGCCAAACTTCCTCTCAGGCTGAAACACAAGGAACCAGGGTGGGTTTAAAAACAGTGCAGGCATCCAGCAGAGAACAGCAAAACAAAGGACCAGTCAGGGTCCTGACCAGCAAGGAAAGAAGCCAACCCAGAACACCCAAGAAACCACAGCACAAAGACGGAGTCAGACACTGCCAGCAAGGGCTCACAGCGGCCAGCACCCAGGACATCTCTGAAGGGGCTCTGACTGTGTCTTTGTGCTGAAAACCTTTCAAGTACCTACAGAAAAGGTTCCTCAGGGACCAGCAGTTAGTGTAATGGCTATGTTGCTGGACTCCCATGTAGTCGACCGAGGCTCAAGTCCTGGACCCAGTGGCTTAAACTCATGCTGGGCACATGTACATGCGTGCCCAAGATCCTAAGAGGAGAATGGAGTAGAAGGGATTGCAGCATGGCCATCTCCCTGGGGGAGGGGGGTCTCGCTTTCTGTCTCTCTGTCTCTCTGGTGAGTGCACATGCCCTATAGCAAAAACCTCTCTAATAATACACTTATTATTTTATTTATTTGTTCATTTATTTTTAATTTGATCAGAGAGAGAGAGAAGGAAAGTGAGAAAACAAGCTGACAGTTCCAGGACACAAACTGCAGTCAGTCATTGGGGAGTCCAGCACCTTAACCACCACACCACCTGCTGACTTGGGAGTTTTCCTCTTTAAGCCCATGATCTGGCACCTCTGCCCCCCGAAATCCCTCCCCCTGAGGTCATGTGACTCTGATATAGCTGGAAGCACTTCCAAGGACACAGCCACTCAGTAAAATGCTGCAGACAAGGACAAATGGACGAACCATTACCTGTCACCTTGCTCAGACTCAAGGCCCACGTGGTCTAAGTCCTCAGTACTGTTCTCTTCCCCTTCTTTTTCTATCTTCCTTTGGATTAATAGTACTTATCATTTCATTTTATCTCATTTGTTGGCCATGAGCTGTAACTTTTTATTAGAGGTTATTTTAAGGCCTTTATATCATATATATATTTTCCTTCTCACAGTCTACCTTAAATGAATATTATGCCATTTCATGTATAAAGAACCTTTAAACAAAAAAACTGTATACAGTATTTATTTATCAAGAGAAACTATTCTTTAGCCCATGTATTCATGTTTCATAGTTCAGGAACATGGCACCAATCCAATGACAACCTTTATATTCCAGAATCACTTTGTACCCTGAAAGATACCAGCCTTCCTCATCTGTTCAAAATCTCTCATGGAATTATCATTTCTATAGAAATCTGCATATGCCTTCTTTCTTGGTTTGACCACAGCAGACAGAGAAAGCTGCAACACTCAGGGATACAATGAACGCTCCAACAATATGAAATCACAGACGCTTGGCCAGAAGGCCACGCAGCTGAGGTCTCGCCAAAGCACTGGAAGCCATGGCAGTTACTGTGCCTCGACACCCACGTCCTTCCCGGCTGAAGAAGAGATGAAAAACTTTTAACAGTCTATTTTCATTTCTTTTCCCCCACACTGTGTACCGTTGTTACACAAGTGACTTCTACATTTGTTATAAACCCTACAAGAAACCAGTCAGGGTTCAGCCTGGAAAAGAGAAACCATTCTATGTATGCTAAGCATGAAGAGTTTTTAAATGGGAATTAGAGGCTTATTCTGATCATTGCAACCCCTAGGGAGCTGAAGCCAGAGAAGCCATCCCCGACCAGCTCTCAGCAAAACTGAAGTAGGCGAGTCTCCAGAACTTGCCCAGAAGCCATTACATGTGGCAAGCATCTACGGCCCTTCTCAGCCTACAGCTTGGGAGAGAGTGACTCCTGGAGTTAGACTACCTGCAAACCCACGTACTGGCCTTGATTCACACCTCTGACTGGAACTGTCACCAGGAATACAGTCTCTCTATCGTCTTCCAAGTTTTCTAAGAGTGCTCTAACTGGTCAGCTTCACACATAACTGGGACTCTGGGGAATGCACTTCCTGTTTTCTCTTCTGTGGGGCAGGGACGGATCAAGGAGGGAAGGCTCTGACGCCCAGCTGACAGTATAGGCTGGAATTTAACCCATTAGACCCTTTGGGGTTGTAAGTCTAGTTTTTGAATTAATTAATTATTTATTTATTTATTTATAATCTCATTACCAAAACACAGTAAGACAGCCTCAGGAGATATCTGCAAAGCCACACATATCCTTAATCAAATACGTTTCTCTTTTAACCAAGAAAAAGAGATATGCGATTCCCTCATTCCGCTAAATATTCACAGCATCCCCAAGATTCACTACTGAATACCACATTCCAGATTAACAACCAGGAAAATAAACTACTAGTTTTGAAAAAAGCCACAAGAGGGCTAGCAGCTGGCATGGTGGTTAAGGCAGCTGAATCCCACCCACATGGCCGATTGCGCAGTTCAAGTCCCAGACCTGGTGGCTTAAAAAGACATGCCGTGTACGTGTGCGTGTGCATATGTATCCAAAATCCTGAAAGGAGAATGGCACCTACTGTCTGTCTCTAGGGAGCGCATGCACCCTCTAGCAAATTTTTAAAAACTAAATAAAAAGCCACGAGATTAAGGAGCAGCTCCATCCATTATCTATAAATAAGCCCAACTGCTTTCTTTCATTTCATTAGTTAATGAATAGTACAAGTGTGTGTACAAAACCTGGATTGCACAGTTTGTCAGACGGAATTATTAACAGCCTGAATTATCACTGTTCCTTTGCAAAACTGACAAACAGGAAGAAGACATGGTTGGAAACACTGCTATCTTAACTATTGAGTTCTTCTTAGCGAAGGAAAACACTTTATTTCTGAGAAAAACAACTTACTAAACTCTTTTTATATAAGGCTCTTCATTTTTTTTCTTTTTTTTGGAGAGGTTTTCACTATAGGGTGCGTGTGCTCGCCAGAGAGACAGAGAGAGACAATAGAGACAGAAAGCAAGAAATCATCCCCCAGGGGGGATGGTCACACCGCAATCCCTTCTCCTCCATTCTCCTCTCGGGATCTTGGGCACGCATGCACACGCACCCGGCGTGAGTTTTAAGCCACCGGATCTGGGACGTGAACCGTGGTTGACTACGTGGGAGTCCAGCGACATAGCCATTACGCTAACTGCTGGTTCCCAAGGCTCTTCATTTTATACAAGACTTCTCACAGGCATGTTCTGAAAGGACCATGCAAGTCAGAGATGATTAGATTCCGCTATTGTGTGAGCTAAAACTTTATAGAGGTAGGGGTCAGCAGGAGGTAGAAGAAAGGAAAGAAAGACAAGAAGAAAAGCAAAAATGCGTGCAGGTGATGAGGAGGCTGGTGTCTGCAAAGAAAGCAGCCAGTGGGGCCAGCAAGTGGCGTGGTGGTTAAGGCACTGGACTCCCACATGGCAACCATGGTTTGAGACCCAGACCTGGTGATTTAAGACTCACGTTGGGAGCAATGCATGTGGATCCAAAATGCCAGGAGGATGGGGTCAGCAGGTAGCATGGTGGGTAAGGGCACTGGACTCCCATATGGTCGACTATGGTTGGAGTCTTGGACCTAGTTGCTTGAAACTCACACCAGGTGTATGTGAGTGCATGCCCAAGATTCTGGGAGAAGAATGGAGGAGAAGAGATTGTGGTGTGGCCATCCTCCCAGTGGGGGTGATTTCTCACTTTCCCTCTCACTGTCTGTCTCTCTCTTTAAAAAAAGAAATGCCAGGAGTAGAATGGAGAAGAAGGGATTGTGGCATGGCCATCCCCCCGGGTGGTGATTTCTCACTTTCCCTCTTACTATCTTTCTCTGTTTCTCTCCTCTCCCACAAGCCCACATGCCCTATGGAAGAACCTTTAAAATAAATAAATAAAAATTTAAAAATAAGAAAGGAGCCAGTAAATATGCCCCGTGGGAGAGTGGGCAATGGACTTGTAGAAAACAAAATGGCTAAAATTCGACTTTCATTTGTCTGCTGTGCTCTGCTATCTTGAACTTTTGATAAAATCCCACCAAGTAGAGCCCTTTAGAGGCGCCATTTTAAGGAACAAAGGAGTAAGAACCGTTTTGAGAGAGCAGACAAGGCACACAAATGAGGGACGGCACAGCGACTCAAACCGAATTCATGATGGAATCACCATCAGAGTGAGCTTTCTCCACATGCCTTTGGCTCAGAGAAGCAGCTGTTTGGCACTTGAGTCCTAAAATTGGAGTTCAGAAAAAGTTTGGATTCAGAGACTATGCTCTACCCACTTAGGAAAAAATATTGAGATGAAGAGCATAGAAGAAAATATGGTCACTGTAGAAGAACTTCAAGGTGTGAGGAATGAGCAGGTGCCAACCACCACTCCAGGCGGTGGAAAGGAGATTCCAAACAGTCAAAAGAGCAAGCTAGTATTCTCGAGCACTGTTTACAAGGATCAAAAGTTTAAGCACACGTTGGTTGGCATGGGAACACAAGTGTACTCATATGCTGCTAGAGGGAGAGAAAAACAGGCACCCTAATGCATGGAGAGCAATTTGGAAATACTTTCCACAGCTGAAAATGCAAATGCCCTTTGCTCTGGTGAATGCATGTATAAGGAAGTATATTATAGAGTTGCACAAGTGAAACAATTTAGGCTTATTACAACCTTGCTTATAACAAGCAAAATATCGAAACAACCCGCATGACATTAACAGCAGGCTGATTGTACCAGGTACAGTATATCCCTAAAATAGGGTATTACACAGCTGTGAGAAAGAATGAGGAAGTCCTTTATGTGTGGAAAGGATTGCTCTCCCAGATACCCCATCAGGTGAGAAAGCAAGGGAGCTGTGTGACCTGTGTGTTGTAATTGTTATTTAAAAAAAGAAAGGGGGACCAGCAGTTAGCCTAATGGCTATGTCGCTGGACTCCCACGTAGTCAACCGCGGTTCGAGTCCTGGACCCGGTGGCTTAAACTCATGCCGGGCGCATGTGCGTGTGTGCCCAAGATCCCTAGAGGAGAATGGAGGAGAAGGGATTGCAGCGTGGCCATTTCCCCTGGGGGGTGATTTCTCGCTTTCTATCTC